TGTTGGCCAAGCCACTGACTGCATAGACTTGTAGTTAAGGTAACTGGTGCCTCTGAGTTGTGGGTTTGGTATGATTGTGTGCATGCATCTGTGTACCCTGCAAGACGGGGGTGTCTCATTCAATCTGTATCTCAGCCCTGTCCTACCTGGGATATACTGCAGGCACAACCCTGACCAAGATAAGTGGTTAGATGATAGATATATGGGTACATTTTCCCAAGAATTGGAGCCCAGCCCATGTGACATTAATTTTAAATGGCAAAACTTGATCTTGAGGTGCTGTGTAATTTTCCTTAATGCACATTGCAATGGCTTGAATGGCAATTAACTCTAGTTTTGCTTGTTCAGAAAGAGGTAAAAGTAGATGTTTGTCTGAAATTTGTTTCTATGGTGATAAATTTATGGGATGGCTGTGTTATGTGATTGCTCCTTATGTACTTTTCCCGAATAGTTTATATGTGGATTTCAAAGTCATAATTGTTGTAATAGGTTTTCGGTTTATTTGTTTGGGTTGGCTTTTGTTTTGTCTGGGCTGTTTCCGTTAGTGAGAGGGACCCTCATAGGTCTGTTCCATGTGCTCCTTGGGTTTGGACTACTGCCCACGCTGTAAATCTGTAAATCTGCCTTCCCTGTTCCATCCACAGGCAACGGAACAATTGACTTCCCGGAGTTTCTGACCATGATGGCCAGGAAGATGAAAGACACGGACAGCGAAGAGGAGATCAGAGAGGCCTTCCGGGTGTTTGACAAGGTGAGGGGGGCCACGTTGCCCCCTGGTGGCCGGGCAAGAGGGGTGCGGACGGGGTCTGGGTGTGGCGCTGTGTCTTAAGCGCCCCCTAGGCTCCGGTGAAGGGAGCACAAGCTTGTTATCTAGCCTCCCGGCTGCAAGGTTCTCTGATGTGATGACGTGTTCCGCGTGTAGGACGTGACCTTAGAGCGGCGCGTGAGCATTCAGAGCCAGTTAGCTCATCCGATCGGGTCGACTTGTTTGTCTGCACCCCCACCCCCCCAGCCAGGTCAGGCCTGCTGTTTCTGTGCCGGTGCCCAGCCTGGACCTCCCTTTGCTGCGTCTCTAGAAGCCTGTGTAGATTTTACTCCAAGGCTAGTTGGTTTTGCAGCGTCAGGGTGAGCGCAGCCCCTATAAACATCAGGATATTTATAGTGATAGCTCAGATCTGTGTAATATCATATTATAAAAATGTAATCTATCAGTTCGCACCTCCTGGTTGAGACGTGCACTCCTCGGGTGAACCTGCCGTGTTTGTTGACCCATCATGATGTCTTTGCTACCTTGCGTCGTGTTCCTTAAGATGGGGGCAGGAGATTTCCGGTGATTACATCTTTGGTATTGTTCCAGTATCAACTGTATTTGTGTTGATTGGCTCGACCATCCTGAGTACAAATCGGAGCCCATCTCCTTGTAGGACGGCAACGGCTACATCAGCGCGGCAGAGCTGCGCCACGTCATGACCAACCTGGGCGAGAAGTTGACGGACGAGGAGGTGGACGAGATGATCCGCGAGGCCGACATCGATGGGGACGGCCAGGTCAACTACGAAGGTGACTTTAAAGAACAAAGTTCCGTTTTAAATGCTAATTGCTCTTTAAACCGCCCTGTTCCACAGCTGCTAAATATGAATCTCAAATACCTGAAATCTTAAAGTAATGGAGACCTTGAAGACAGATGCTCTGTGTTTTTAAAGGCTACTTTAAAACCTGCCGATTTTGTGTACGCTTTGGATTCGTGAAATCGTTATTTCAAAAAAGCTAAGCATTTTTTAAATTCGTAGAAGCCAGTTAAGTATATTTATTTCGCCCCTCCCCATCATGCATGGGTAAAAGAAATGAATTAATAATAAAAATGTGTGTTTGAAGGGTGGGAAGGAGGCTCAGTGGGTAGCAGTGTTACTCCTGGATGCCACAGTCTTCTCCCCCATGCTCATGCTGGTTGGCTAATTGGTGTATCTCAATTGCCCATAGAAAATGATTGTGTATGTGAGCTTTGCAATGGGCTGACACTCTAGCCTTGCGTGTTACGCTGTCTGGGATAGGATCCAGGCCCCCCGCAACTCTGACCAGAATAAGCAGCTAGAAATTGGATGGATGGACGATCTGTGTTTAGCCAGACAGAAACTCCTAAGCTGAGAGACCTTAATTGCTGCCCCCCGCCACTCGGGAAGGAAATTCTTCTAACACAAGAAGGTCCACCAACCATCTGTACGAGGGCTTCTCCGGGATTTGAACCCGTGACCATTTGCGCCCTGAAAAAGAACCATATCCCTAGACCAGGGCTCCCCAGTTCCAGTCCTGGTGGGGGGGGGGAACTGATTAAGGTGTTTGAGCAGGGAGCCTTAGTATGCATTCAATGGTCTATCTTCCCTGAGCAGCTGTTGGTGTCATGCTATCAACTTGCATTGTTAGCTGATTCTCATTGTTTCTCCCCCCACCCCCCCACCCCCACAGAGTTCGTGCAGATGATGACGGCAAAGTGAACCTCGCACCAGGGCCCACGTGACGCCTGTCTCACTCCAGTCACTCTATTTTTAAAAAACCATAAAAAATACAATCCTAATAATAACCTTAACAAATCAACAGAAAAGCTATAAAAAAATCTTAAATGTTAACTCTGTAAATGTGGTTTCGAATTCAGTCTACTTCTGAGGCGTCTGTCGACCAATCGGCTGCGGAACGGCCCCAGTGGGTGTGTGAAGCGACGAAGCTGGGCTGCATGAGACCCCTCCAACTCTGAGAGAAAAAAAGAAAATAAAAAAAATACTAGTTAAATTCTTGCTCTTGCGGCTGAATTTTGAAGGAAGGGTGGCGGCAGAGTGCGAAATGGAGGATAGGAGACGATGAAACCCATCCCCCCCCCCCCCCTCCCCACTCGTTGTCAAGGATTTAAAAAACAAACAAACAAACAAAAAAACAGCTTATTGTTGTCCATTTGTAACGTTCTTATCCGTGCAGCTTGCAAGAAAAGCAGAGCTGTTTTCACTGAGAAGTTACAAAAACAAAATTATGCATGCATACGTTTTTTTTTTTTTTTTTTTCTTCCCCTTGATGGAATCCCTTGACAATTGGGGAGTTCTGTGATTGGACGTCCTGGGCAGTGTACAGTCAGGAGGTTTAAACATTTATATATATATTTGTACAAAACGTATTATGGAGGGTTGCTATATGTGCGAGTCAGCGCTGGGTAGGAACTAGGACTCAGTCCCTCCCCCCCCAAAAGCTCTTCAGCAATGTGTGGAATAAACAGGAGAGTAATTTCTGCAAGTTTAACTTAATTTTTACCTGTTCTGTTTAGTTGCACTATCACTACCATCTGACGTCAACGCAGCGCCACGCTTGGGTTGGGCAGTGTGCCCGTGTTGTTGGTGTAGAACTTAAAAAGACGTGGATCACGACAACATCGCATTCAGTTTAGAGCACATTGCTGTAAATATCTAAACATACAGAAAAATATCAGTACAACTGTAAATGTTATGCTTTTTAAGTGTGTAACAGTCAATATTAAGTGTGTCGTAAACTTTGCATTGCCTAATCTAAATATTAGTATGGCCTGTGAATTCTGTTTAGTTTTCTCTTGGTTTTGAATTGTGCCATAATGTTGAGCCTCAGTTTATTTATTTTTTTGCAAGAAGACTTTTAGAAAACATAGTAGTTATATAAATATTTGCACTTTTGTGTACAATGACTTCAAATCTGTTCTGATTGAGGAGGGAAAAAAACCAAATTTTGCTGCTGTTGCTGCTGCTACAAACTGTCTCTTCCTCTCGTCGTGGTTTCAGACCCTCACGTCGTAGCGATACTGGACTTGTTCCATGCTCTGCTTTGCTGTACCACTAAACCGTACTGTTGAGGTTTGTTTTTTTTATTTTTATATTTTTTTTTGGGAAGGGGTTTGGATGAGAGAGCTGGCAAACGAATGTTACACATTTGAGCTTGTCAGCTTTTAAGCTTGCAAAGGCGGAGAGACATGCTGTGTTTGGAGAGATGATGATGATGATGATGATAATGATGATTGATGAAGGTTATATATAAGGGGGATGGCTTTGTTGCTGGAGAGTTTTAAGTCGTTTAACTTGTGGGTTAAAAAGCTGAATGGATCGTGGCTGCAGAGGAACAATGTAGAAATTTGACTATGAACTGTTGCTGTTCAAATTTGTGAAAGTTGCGTCCAAAATATAAGCTGTGAAATATCAATGTTTTCCAATAAAATAAAAACTATACTCACAGCATTTTGTGCATGGCTGTCCTTTTGCATGGTACTCAAAGATGCTGTAGGTTCTGAGTTAATCAAACTAAAAACTTTTAAGTTATATCACGAATAGGCCACTATTATGAAGATATTCCTTGCATGACAATGAAATCACTGCCAGATATGGGAATTGAACTAGCAACCTTCTGATCATTGGCAGAGAGTCCTAACATCACTTAGGGTGTCTGCTGATTAAACATAAATGGAACCTGCAGAACCACACATACACCCAGATACTGGCACATATAGGTTGGTTTACATAATGTATAATTGTAATTGCTTGAAAACATCTATCTGAATAAGTCTGTGTCTGCATAGAGATATGTCCCTTTCACATCTATATACACTTCTTGGTATTAAAAAATAAATAAAACGAGCAAGTAAAATGAAAACCATAAACTGAAATATTATCAGGGTTAACGGTGAATATCTACACGTTTCCTCTAACAACTATGATCGTAAATTCCAATTAATGACCAATTCATTTATCCGCCTTACCGGGTGTTTTATTTATTTATTTATTTATTTATTTTTTACTACTCGTCTCACCAAAGCACTGCCACGTTGGGCTGGAAATTATGCACGCCCACGTGCCCAACTATAGGTCAATGTAATGTAGCCTGGAGTAGTGCGCGTGTCTAAATGATAGTGGGCGTGTCGAAAGGTTTATCACATTTCCACTTCGCCGACGCGACTAAAGTAGACAAAGAGCGAGTACAAAAAATTCACGTCGTACTACATTTTTTATTGAATTTTACTGAAGTAGTCCAGTTGGTTAGTATCAATAATGCTCACGTTCCACCCCCGCTACCACGTTATCGCTGACCAGCAGTAAACGCATCAATTTCAAGAACAAACTTGTTTGAGGTTGTGCCCTGGCCTTTTGGCTTCCTTTCTCCCACCGTCGCCTCCGCTAACGGATGCTGTGTGTTTGTTGAAGTTGACATGAATCAGTTTGCACGTACCAATTGAGCTGTGTAAACTCTGCTCCCAGCATCCGCCATGTCCACCTGCCCCAGGATTCGGAAATGAGAGCGCGGCTGCTCCAGGTATGACGTGATCAAATACATGATTTTTTTCATTATTTAAAATGAAATGCTGTCTGTTTAAAGTAACTTTCTGAGGTTTGCAAGAAAAAAACAGCTGTAACCCGTTTCTGTTAGATGTGTTAATTATCAAAAATAAATATATGTTCTTCCCAAATTCATTCATCTTTCAGATAAATAAATGGGTTTTCATGATAAAATATAAAATACGGTGTGAGAGGCTTATGGCAAATACGTTTTGAATGGAATTTTTTAGTATGTAGCCGGTGTTGTACAAGACGTTGGTGTAGATTTAAATATCAACACTAGAGGGAGTTGTATATCCAACCAAAATACTGACTTTCTTTTTGAAACGGTGACCTTTTTTGTTTTTCCTAAATAGATTCCTATTTTGTCCACTAGGTACATGCTGCTATATAAGGTCGTGTTTCCCAGCTTGACCGATCCTTCATTTGCCCCAGATATAATCTGAAAAGATGCATATCCTTAACTACAACCAGGGATACCCTCCTTGACACCATTAAGACAATGTGACCTATAGGCACTTAGTGAGACAAAGCGGAGTGCAATTTAGTCGCTTGTGGACAGTAATACAGTAAGTGAAGTGAAGGCTTACATGAAAATGTTACAGCGTCTTAGCGATTCAGGAACCAGCCAGCCATACGGGAAATGAATCACTGCATGTTCTGTTTGCTCCCGGCCCATGTTTGAACTCAGTGTGGATTTGCAATGGAAAATACAGCATAGCCCCCCTCCCCCCGTGCCATGTAGGCTTCTAATCACTGTCTCAGTTTATCGCAACTAGGCATTAAATGGGGCTAAAATGGTTCTGATTTGATACAGTTCTACTCTTGGTACTTCACGCCCCCTTGGAATATCAGTGTGTTTATTTTATCTGGATATATTTGTCTGTTGGTGTGGGTGCTTCTGTTTAGTGGCCCAAATCAGCATTTGAAATCTCAGTGCCTAAGCAGAACTGGTCCAGCATACCAAAACGTCCAGATCTGATGACAAAGAACTCCTCCCAGAAGGCCACGTCTCCCTTCCTCATCCTTTACCTCTGCCTCTGGCAGATATTTACTCAGTGTTCCCTTCTCAAACCTCCTCCGGGGTACCCTTAGGGTCCCGTAAGCAAGCCTACATGGTCGCCCCTTGTGTGCCTGTTTTTCATCTTTCACTTTGACCTAGAACATGACATGGTTGTGTTTGGCGAAGCCTAAGCTACATGCGGGTGCCTGCGGAGGTGCATGCCGTTTGCAGAGCGGAGTGACGTTAGCAAAACACAAGCCCTGCCTCACAGAGGCTAGGACGTGTGGTTTGGTGAGTCTCGCTTTTGTTGCGAGCGGTGGAATCGCAAACAAGGACAAAACAAATTCCGCTATGGGTTGGATGGTGCTGTGTGGAGGAAACAAAGACACAGGTTGCCAATTCAGGCACCAGTACGTCTGTATTACAGTACCCCTGGAATAAGGTACTCAACCTGGCAAAGGTTTCTGGAAGGATCAGTGATCAGGCAGTTACAGGGGCAGCTTGAGGATCAGTGATCAGGCAGTTACAGGGGCAGCTTGAGGATCAGTGATCAGGCAGTTACAGGGGCAGCTTGAGGAGGCCTTGTCCATGCAGGGACAAAACTAAAATTGACTGCAGCAGCTTAACTGCCGTCATGTTACACCTAAGGTATCTGAAGCTTCCTCCGTATCGACCACTGGATTGGTAGTCTCCGTCCGAGATCAGCGCACTGAACTTTACTGCATTGTGTGCTTCTGTACATCTTGTTCCATATTTATAATTTATAATGACATTTAATTGAGAGAGAGAGAGAGAGAGAGAGAGACAGAGAGCAAGGGAGCAATGCTGCAAATGACTGGAAAGAAACTGTACACAGTCATGAACTTCTGGGAAACCAACATAGCGTTACAGCCAAAGCACCGGTGAAGCGACTCGACGTCATCCCTGGTGCCCGTGAGGGAAAGATGCAGCTTTGACAATCGCATAAACAGTCGATCAAGAAGAAAGACTGTTTTAATCCCGGCAGTCACGTTTAACATAACGCAGGTCCCTCGCTCGCCTACAGATATATTCTGGGTCCCTGCAGACTCTAGCCTGCCCACGGACACTTAAATAACTTCTTAGGAAAGACGCACAGGTTTCTGCCACTCCAGAATAAATGAGGGTCTCTGACCTTTTCCAAACACTTCAGTGACGAGAAAGTGAAGACAGTCGTTCAGAGTAGCATTGCCAAAATGAACAGATACAGTCTCATGATGTTTTGAAGTGCCGCCTCAATGTTTGACATTTAAGGTGGACCACCAATCTATATAGGATCCTACTTGAATATCTGTACTGTAGTGGATGTGTTTTGATACGGAGACGGTGCAGAATCATTCACTCTCACATGTTGTTGGGGGTGTTTTATTGTTTTGTTTGATGTGGCCTGTTTTCTTGCTTTTTCACCTCACCAAGAACCTCTGACATTAAAAATACATTGAACATATGATGCATTAAGATATGGCTGAACTGTGCCTCCTGAGAAATGTAGCTTAGCTAAAGAATAAGCAATTGATTTATTAAGCACTGAACCAAAGCAACGCTCCTTGCCTTTAAATTAACTATGTTTTGCTTTTAAATCGGCAGTAAGGTTTGTAGGTGAGATAAGACTTCTCTTGCCACGTTGGGTTTTTTTTTTTAGCTTTAAGGGTACGAACACTATCCTTTGTAAGATCATAATTTGGTCAATATTCATGCAGTCTTATGACCAGTTTATCCCAGTGAATACAGGCATCCATCCATCTTCCAGGGCCACTTATCCAGTATTAGGCTGCACTAAGCCTGGAGCTTCTCCCAGACAGGATAGGGCACAAGGCAAGAGACACCGATTCATTGAACCGCATGCTTTCAGACTGCAGGAGGAAACGCACAAGTTCCACTTGCTCAGAATCACCTCCTCATGCTGCACTTATGTCGCAATAAATGCACACATAAACAAATACTAATTAAAGAGAAACAATTCCTTCTTGGGTTATCTGGTCACCAAGCACAATGCAAGGAAATGCATGCCCCGCTTATCTTGATTTGCATCATTTTTATGGCTACTTGGGAGACTTGGACCTATTCTCTTGTTAACGGCCGAACACATAGCCCAGCCTGACCACACAGTATGTACGGCACATGCAGATGTGGTGTGACACCCTTTCCCCTGTGCGAGGACCCTCCCCATACCTGACAAGGGCCGCACCTGCAAGAAGGTTCTCATGAAGTTGGCCTGTTTGATGGCGTTGGTGTCTCCCCCCCCCCCCCCCCCCCTGTAAAAAACAAAGTGCTGAATAGGCCTCCAGCACAGACCTCCCACACCCCCTCCCCCTTGTAAAAACAAAGCAGTGAAATGTCAGTGAGATGGGCATCTCACCGGAGTTGAAAAAGGGCCCTTAATCATGTCAATATTTGACAGAACCTTCCTGATTGCCTCAGATGGTTTCCCTGGAAAGTTGGGCCACAAATTGATTTGTTCCTGAGGCTGTCTCCCCCCCCCCCATTCTGTCACCATTTCCTCTTTCCAGTAGAGGTGCAGGTGACCTTCACAAAATCAACTCATGCCCAATAAAGATAAGAGCGATCAATTTGCCTCTGAATCTGTTGCGAGTTGCCACTCTTCCCCTTGTAAATTAAATTTCTACAGAAGTGGCACTACAATAAAGGAATAGTTTTTGGTAATATTTAGTTTAGCAGATAAAGCTGCTAGCTGCTCGAGTACGACCAGGCCGCGATTCCAGATTGCAGTCTGATATCAGGCAGCGCCATCAGAAAACTCTCTTCCTGTTTTCACAGCAGAGCGACTTTCTCTCCAGTTTATCTATTTCAGCATCAATGCAGTGTTGTGCCTGTGTTACTCCCAGCAGACTCTTGCTACAGTCACACCAGCCCTGCCCAGAAAGAAGCGAGAGAAGGTGAAAGGTTTCACATCCCATGTGAGTTTAAGAAGCAAGCTGTGAATGAGAAAGCTGTATTTAACGGGAGTGACTGAATGCCAGACCAGTCTGTTCTAGGATGCAATATATATAATTTTTACTTTTATTTGCTAGTTTAACCTCCCGTTGACCTTGAAACAGGATGCATGTTCATTTTATGACTGAAAGTGATGTGCTCATGATTTTCTCTGGATCACGGAAGTGGTCGTATCATGCTGCCGCCTGTGCTCCAGATGTATCCCATGATTCATAGCGGTGTTCATCAATAACAGAGCTTCCCAAGTAATTCTTGACGTATCAGTTCTTCCTTGCCCATTTTGTAATCACAGAAAAATGGCCTTCCTTTGCTCACATGGCATTACATTATATGTTCAAAGACTTCACTGACTTTATATGTGCTTGTATGTGTTTTGCATCATATATTTACATTCAGTACCAGTCAATTGTCTGGACCTGCTTGCTTTTAATGCATTAGTCTCAGTTTTCAATGAAGTAATGCATATCAAATAATACAATGACCAAGTGACTTGATCAACATCTCAAAACTTTCTCAAATTATAGATTATTCTAATTAGCCTTTTTTTTGGTTTGCTGACAATATTGTAGACTCTAGGCATTCTTTCAACCAGCTTCCAGATGTAGCCACCTGGAATGCTTCTCCAACAGTCCTGAAGGAATTTCCACAAGCTCTGGGCACAAGTTGGCTACCTTGCTCTTACTTTTTGATCCAACTCATCCCAAACCGGCTCTGTAGGGTTTCAGTCGGGGGATTGTTGGGGCCACATCATCGTCACAGCACTCCACCTCTATCCTTGTTCACAAGATAGTACTTGCTACATAACCTCAAAGTCTTTCTTGTCCTTATCTTGCTGAAAAGCAAATGATTTTCAATGGGTGTTTCCAGACTATTGACTGGTACCATACGTCATATCACCTTATCTCATATCTCAACAAAGTCCTTCACATTGCTTGTTCCAGAAAGAAATTAACATGTCGACAGCTCAATCTGTATAAACAGACACTCCACCCATACTTTTCAAATTATTTATTAACATTTTACACCTGTATAGACATTCGATACAGTTCATGCGAATACTCTGGAAATCCATTATTATTCACAATCCTGTATGAAGCATTAGTTGAGATAGCGATCACCTGTAGTCACTGTCACGAGCCCATGAGGAGATTACAGTGGCTGAGGATGGTAACAAATATACACGCAGGGACATCCATGCACAAGCAATGTTGTGGCTTCTGATCAGACACAGGTACCCTGTAGGAGGAAACGCAGACATGGGTCTTATCTACCCTTATTTGCCCAAACACTGAAGCACTACACCTACGAGCAGGATGCACTTAGCTTCCAAAACCACTTACCCAACACAGGGTTGCATTGAGTTTGGAGCCTCTCAGAGAACACACTTCATCTCACATTACGGGCAGTTTAAAAACAACAATTAACTGCAGTAGGAAACTGGAGCACCCAGAAGAAGCCTACATAAGCTGTGAGACTCCCATGCTACCCATCAAACCACCCTAGGAAGACAGTTAAAGCTTGTAAGCAAATGGTCACATTTCAGGAGGTTAGCGAATGGTAACTTCTAAGGGAACGCCATTCTCTCTCACTCTCTCTCTCACTCTCTCTCTCTCTCTCTCTCTCTCTCTCTGATGCATTAGTCGGTTGTGCGAAGGGTAGCTTCATGTTTCCGCCATAGTTCAAAGCATCCTCCCCAACACAGAGTCAATGGTCACACAGGCCACCTTCATCACAGAAGAGCTAGGCAGAGCAGGAGAAGCCAAAATCCTCCATGGCATATGGACTTCACACGGGCATTCGAAAGGAAGATCCCAGTTCATGTTTTTTGTCCATAAAAATTGAGAACACAGAATCATGGTACGGGAAATGTATCAGAATACAGACAGGCTTGTACTGGTGAAGCACAATGTTATACCACCTTCACACTCTATTCTGCAAGAACAACGGAACGGACACTGACAACTCTGTCAATTGATTTCAGCTGCATATCTTCTGCCATGTGAAATAAAGAACGAGAGATATGACACTTTGATTTATAGGGAATGAAATGTTTACATTGTTGAACAAACAGAGCAACCATGAAGACACAGACTGGAGGAATATATTATCCAGGGGACCACAAATGATCTTCTAACATCTTTAACAACAAGTTTTGTCATCAGCTAAGCTAAATAATTCTCTAATTATTCTCCAAACTCAATTATTCTTTCTCTGGAGAAGGTCACTATGCGTTATGTTCACAACATAGTACCAGGCATCTGTTTCTCACAAATTCTTTAAGTTCTATTCATATGAGATTAAAGCTTTTCCTTTAACAGCAGGCTTGTCATTCAGATACTGAGTTGGGAAATTCACTTGTGAAGATGCTTAGTACTAAACAGGGCTTTCCACTTAAAATACTGCTATTTAAAAATCTATATCAGCCAGAAGGCTGGCATAATGCTATGAAATATGACATTGAGGTTTTCTGAAGTATCCTGTTTCACACTGACTCATGAGACGTTGATGACGAACAGTCCCTTGTTGAAGTATAGATAGCGCCGTTAAGTTAACTGAGGAATGGCACCAGGTGGAAGGTCATACAGTGCCCGAGGCAAGCGTCACTTCTGTGGCCCTTCAGAAGATGGCGTCCTAGGCAGCTGTCTATGTCATCTCTAGGGCTGACCGGGTCTGCTGAGTGTGTCTGGAATGCCAAGGGTCATGGGAGAACAGAGTTAAAGCCTTCCTCAGACTGTGCCCATGTCTCCCCTTCATAGCCACGTCCAAACGTTGCCTGATGATGTTTCAGGCAGCTCCCCAGTTAAGAGTGACTCAGGGAGTACAATCCTCCAGAACACAACAGAAATTCAGAAAATGGCTCAATCTGCATTTTCTGTGACAATTAATTATTGGTTTGGTTGCTTGGCCTGTCTTTCACACTGGAGGAACCTAAATAGTATGCAGTCTGTTAATAAAGGTTACTTTTATAGCTTACTTAAGTAACCTGTTTATAGGGTATAAAGTGAGGATTTCAGGGTCTTGTCGTTAAAAAAATATAGCCACACTAATACAACAAATCTTTATTATTTTATCATTCCAGGTCGGCTATAGAAAGGGGTGCATGAAACACAATTTGGGTTCTCAGTAAAACTGCATGACATTCATTACACCGCCAGCTCATCTCAGGCCATTTACAAAAAACACAGCTCACCAAACTTGGGAAGCTCTGTCCAGGTGTAATTTTTTTCTCGATACTCCCACACTGACGCAGATGGTGCAGACGGTGAGGGAGCCACCTGACGTGCCTGAAGTTCCATTCCCTGCTTCCAGAGGGCGCTGTAAGCAGGGCTGTTACAGTATGTCGCCATTGTGTTTTTCTCTGCTAGTGACATCCAGAAAAAGTGCTTTAGGGATGTCTGGAAACGTCATGCACCCCTCTGCCCAGTGGGCTCACATTTGGTCCTTGTGCAGTTTGATACTGCTTCTGTGACTGCCCCCTTATGGCTAAAAAGTATAAAAGGGTAACACTGCAAGCCAGGTGAGTCACTCCTCAGCCAATTAAAATGCAGTGTACCACTTCTCAGCCAATTAAAATGCAGTGTACCACTTCTCAGCCAATAAAGATGCAGTGTACCACTTCTCAGCCAATAAAGATGCAACACACCATCCCATATGGACATGGGATTCTGACTTGTTTTTATTTGCGATTGGTCGCTCCATTGCTCAGCTAGCTTTCTCATCTCTGATCCCACTCCAGCCTCCTTTCTTGGTCCCATATCTTCAGCGGGATGGGCCGCGATCCCTCATGTCTTGAAATCTAGGCCTTCAGCTTTACGACATGTGCCTTCCTGCCGTCCTTGGGGACTGACAGGCAGCCTTCATGCTGGCTTTCCTCCGAATCTTGGGTGGGCTGCCTCAGTTTCACTTTGCTGAACCACAGCCGCCCATAGCCTGTCCCCTCCTGGTCTGGGTCCAATCAGTCAGTCTGGGTTCACATGGGCATGCTGGGAAAAGTCTGTAGCGGGACCGTGCCAGAAGGCTGCAGAGGCCTGACCTGTGCGGGGCTGTTGAGGGTGTTGTGGGCAGTGTTCTTGAGCGCCCCTCGCGGGATGCGGCAGCGCAGCAGTGAGCGCAGTTGACGGAACACAGCCTTGCGGCAGATGATGAAGACCCAGGGGTCCACGATGGGGTTGAAGGCGGAGAAGCGGAACGCCATCAGGTTCTGCTGGTCGTTGCCGCTTGGAGACACGGCGCTGATGAAGCCACAGATCTGTGGAAGAGTTACGGGGAGAACCCATCAGCAAAAATGAGAAGGAAAAACCTAGACTTTAGACTGAGCTTCTACCAAACGAGGCATTAAGTACAAGAGTGGAACCATGACAAACTAATCCATCTAGAACTTTCACATGGGAAATAAACACAGCGAATGGCAAGTAGTGACCATTTAATTAAGGCCCAAAGACACAAGGAATAAATTGAAAAAAGAAAGACCAAGATTTATGAAATGGTAATTGGCCTGTAAGTTCTAGGTTGTTGGCCAGCTGGTACAAGGCTCTCATCTCTAGGACTATGTGCACAAGCTCATTCTTGCGTTTTATCCAAATGGTCCCTTAATGAATTATCTTTGTTGGTTGAATGTTATTATAGCGCATGTAAATGTTTACATGTTGCTATGGCCTGCTCTGAAAAGTAATGTAGTAACCAATGGATGGAGCTGGGGGTGCAGACGCGGAACGGCCAGGACGTTTTCCGTGCGGTGCTCCAGGCATTTTCACCTCACTTCTGGATTTCGCTGCTTTGGTGCATTAGCCTCCATTACAAGATGGAAAAGAAAACCTCTACATCATCGCTAATCAACATTTACAAAGAGTAATTAGCCCAGAGGCAGGAAGTGTGCTTCAGGTTACAGACTGAAACACTCCTGAGAGCAATTTTCAACCTCTGAACTGCAAGAACGCAGGTTTGGTTTCAGAAATACCGCGACACTAATGTACTAGCCAGCCACTTTCTTTTCCTGTTCTAAGCTCTCGCTCGTTGTCATTTCTCTGAAGTATAGAAACGGAAATATAGACTCATACAGTTTTAAAAAAAATGTACAGTGTACAAGTGAACAACCTCTTTCCTGACTGAGCAGAATAGTAAGACAGTAAGATGCAAGTAGTTGATTTTAACACATATGGAACTATTTGAGAAGGCTGAACCAAAAGCAAATCCTAAACCCATCCGAGCCAAACCGCTTCTACCGGTCCATTTTCGAACAAACATAGCTTTATGTCACTAATACAAATAGCTAAAGTTAGGTGGGCTTTATCGTCATAGCCATACGTATACAGTGGTAAGAAATAGCTTTGTACAAGTCACAGTGCAACATAGAGCAGGACTGGTGAGGGAGGCTGTTCACAGTGCTGTAGTAGGGTGACCAGATAATCCATGTCAGGGAGGGACACTCTGAGCTACTTCGGGTTTTACAAACTACTTTAAAACTGAAAGGCTCCTGTACTTGGCTAAATTGTTCAGTTCCTCTTGTGCACTGACTCGTTTGTTTCCTTGAGTGAAAGATTCATCGAGCTGTTTCCCATTAACATTAGTGACACATGCATGATTATTGGAGACTGACCAATCAGCACACAGCAAGTGAAATCCAGGTCCTTTTAAAGGTAATAGTAGTTTAGCCTGTCCTAGCTCAAAGTCTCCTCTCTGAGCATGGACTATCTGGTCACCTTAGCTTAAAACGCAAAACGTAGGACAGAGGAAAACAGCATGGCTGGACACAAGGGTTTATATCAGGGGTCTCCAACTCCGGTCCTGGGGAGCTATACTATCCAGTAGGTTTTCTATCCTACTTGGCTTCTGATGAGCCACACTAGGTCTCAGGTAAATACCAGGAGCAGGTGTGGCTCATCAGAAGTCAGGTAGGATAGAAAACTTACTGGATAGTAGCTCTCCAGGACCGGAGTTGGAGACGCCTGGTTTATATCAATAGTGCAGCATGTTTGCATGTAAACAAGAATTTGGCAGCAACAGCATAACAGGGTGGAAAAAATATAGTAGCTAGAAGCTAACAAAAAAGAGATGAACAAAAAAAAGGTTAAATAACCTGAATCATCCACATCCTTCCAGTATTACAGCAGAAGACATGTCCAGAAATTCCCAAAAATGGTCACATTTACATCCCCACCCAGACCATCAAACATCTGTGCTTCTTGGAAAGGCTTCAGACCGCCCCCCCCACAATACTGGATAAGTGGTTGGAAGATGGATGGATTTCTATTTATTAATTAACATCACACTATGCGGCCTCCCCCACCAGCAAAAGCACATTGCAAACATTCATACAGAAAAATTGCATCACAAACAGTAAGTGCTGTATCAGTCAGACATCAGGACGGCGTTTATCTGCAAATGATCTGCCACTTATGTCGCCATTTTTTTTTATCTTAATATGATAAGTCAGCATCCTTCAACCACATCAGTCATCAAGCTTGTGAAAGCGGCTTTCCCTAGGGAGTAATCTTTTAATGTGTTTTTTTTATTATTATTTTTTTTTTTTGGTTTACAAGCAAGCTGTCTCACTTCACTGAAGGCTTTGGCTTGCTGCAAATTAGACCAGTACATCATCCTCGAAAAAGCAATTAAAGCAAACGTCTTTTCCAAAGTTTTCGAAGATCTCAGCCAGATGGAATCTTGAATCATTCCGAATCCAGCAGGGTCATGTGACCCACATGGCAGCGAATGATGTTGCTACATTGCTCTCTTTTGGCAAGGTCAGCTTGGGGTTGATCTGCCTGTTTCAGCAAACCTGCTTGGTTTTAATTTCTCACACATATTTGCACATAATCTTCAATTTTGTTTGATATGTGCATGAGCAGACATTCAGTTTGAAAGCGGAACTTTGAAGGGGGTTTAATGCTTGTGTAATATCCATGAATATTAAGTAATGATCTTAAATGCGAGCCGTGTGTGCGATTTTGTTTTGACAACCACCCTACTCTCACCAGAAAACTCCCCTCTTAAATCAAGGTTATCAAAGGCCACTGTAGCAATTCAGTCTTAATTTCTCATCTAATAACTTTTTTACAGGCTGTTCTGACTAGCAATTGTATACCTTTGCAGAAGTTAAAATTTACACTGGTTAATGTTTATTCCATAACAGCAGGACAGAGGGCTCTGCGTTGTAGCTGAAGTTCCGACCCTGCGTGACAGATACTCCACCTCCTTGACGCAGATGAATATCATCTCATTATGTTCCGGAGCTCTGCAATAAAAATGCTAAAGAACAAGAATACAGTGCAGCTGGAATGGAGAAGAGAAAACCAGAGCATGTGACGTACAGAAGGCCTGGATGTAACGTGATTAGCCATCCATCTATCATCTATCTATCCATCTTCCATTTGATTATCCAGTACAGCCATCCAGAATGGTCTGTAAGTCCATCGCAGTGCATGCTCTTACACACTATGTGTAATTCGGAGATGCTTATTCACCTGCATGTTTTGCACCATGGGAATGAACCAGAGAGCACAAAACCTGTTGTTACTGCCCACACACAGAGCTAGGGGCAGACTGGAGTTATGAGGCCACAGAAGTACTCAGTGAGACGTCACAGCACCCCTATCAGATAGAGAGAGCATGTTTATAATGCCACACTGGTTGCGATCCTATCAGAATGTCTCACTGCACGGTGTCTTGGTGCACGTGTATAAGGATTTTAACTGCTAGGTCACTGGGCAGGATGTCTGTCCATGTCTGTGTGAGAACAGGGGCACGGGCGATGAATCTGTAGTATGACTGAAGGCCGTCTGCCGTCAGGTTCGCCTCTTAGACTGCTGGCGGCTGATTGGTTTGGGGGGGCAATACCGAATTTGAAGCGAGTTTCCTCGCTGTGGGCACTCTCACCTATCTCAACTATTTTGTAACGTTCAAGAATTTGGACAATTCTCTGCACCCCCTCCACAACCTGATGGCCATAAAACAGAGTGTTTTCAGTCAGAGACTCCTTCAGTTCCGCTGCAATAAAGACCGTTACTGGAGGACATTCCTGCCCATGGAAATTACCATTACCGATCTATAACAACTCCTCTCTGTGGCGGAAGACAACTTTCCTCATCTGAGGCAATACACAATGGACAATGCACATTTACATTTAATTTGCACACTAAAGGTATTTTTGTGTATTTGTACATTTACAGTATTAGTACATACATATTTTTGTCATTTGTAATTCGGTGTTACTCCTACCCTTATACCCATCTCGTGTCTGTACAGTATGTTTTTGTCATTTATGTAACACAAAAAATTTCCCCTTGGGGACAAATAAAGTAATCTGAATCTGAATTTGTGATTCAGCATGAAGTTATGGTTCCCTGTGCTGGTCACAGGTCACTGCTAAGCTGAAAGTTTGGGAATTTCAGTCACAGCTGTGTGGCGCTGCATCGAGGGGAAAAAAAACAGCTTTGATTAACAAGGAAAGCAGCTTCAGCTACAGCTGCAGCTCTCCGGGTCACACTCACTCTCTGCAGTGTTTCTATCAGCTGATTTTGACAGCGGTGTCCTAAGGTGGCGGAAATGAACACCATGCTCGCTCCTCCTCAGAGCTGGGCTCCTTTTCAGCTGGTGTCACGCTGTCTTGTGAGATTTATTGTCGGACAAACAGGTTTTCATCTCTGAGTTGCACGTCGTCAAAGCAAACTCCCCACAAACACCTCCGGCCTCCGCGTGTCAGGGCAATTTTCCTAAACACCACCCCTGTCGCATCTGGCCCTCCTTGAAAAGCCACGGCTGTGGGCCTGATACAAATATTTATTGATTGACAGATCTGCGTATAATTCCGCACTTTAAACTCCGACTTGGCGCCCTAGGAAATGATCCGTCGCATTCTGGAGCTGAAAGATCCTTCAGGCGCATTGAACATGTCGCATGGGAAACAGACGCGGCCTCGGATATCCAGGATGACGGTTGTGAAATACGACGGGCTCGAAGCGGTGTACCCTACGTGCCAAAATAAATAAGCCAAGCCTAAATGTTACAATGACAATCGAAAAGGACGTTTCTACTGGTGACAGGTATGTGACAGTGGTATGGACTCAGCAGGTTAGGACTTGGGCCTGTGATCAGGAGGTCGTTGGTTCAAATCCTGGGGCCTGAGCAGGACCAGAGCCTTAAGTGCCATTTCTAGGGGTGCTGCATGCTGCCTGACCCTGCTGTATGACCCCCCCCCCCCCCCCAAGCTTACTCTCACCTGCATGTGTGCCTCATGGAGAGCAAGATGAGGTAAGCAAAAATAGCATCTCTATTCTGTGATCAATAGCAACTAGACTGCACAATAACAGACCAAGTATATCTGTTGTACCTTAATTCTACCCTTTTGCATGAATTTATTTATTCACTTGCCTTCTCTGTATTCTTGTCATGTAATGTGGTATGTTTACTGTTTGTTTGCAGTGTGAGACGTGTAATGTTGACCATATGAATTTCCCCTGGGGGGATATTAAAGTTTACCTTGACCTAGATGCCAAGCACAGTATATAAGGATACGTGACTTGGCAAGAATGAGTCACATCACAAACCCCGGGTCAGGAAGCGGTGTGCTCACTCTGTTCTTGCCCGCGGCTCTGACAGCCCGGAGATATTAAAGAGCCGCCGGTGATGACTCCAGCCCCAGGAAACCAGTGCCGTAATGGAGAGCTACCAAGGGCCATTACTGAGGGTCCTGCAAGAATGTCCCCAGATCCTCTTTCAGCACACGCTCATTAACGATTACCCCCCCCCCCCCCCCCATCTTCTGCTGCAAAGGCAGCCAAAACTAACACACTCTCAGTCAGCAAGAGAGTGAGTCTAACATGCCGCTGTTCCTCAGCTGACCAATGAATCATTCATTTGTTTATTATTAAGAATCACCGTGAGCAAAACTTCTTAATTTGTACATCCTGGTATCTTATGACCAAAAATGATGACAGATGACTGTGTAACACTGGAAGCATTTTGTTCTAAAAGGCACAAAGATACTTGCGGCTATAGTTACTCCTGGAGCTTTGCTCATGGGGGTGAGCTGTCCAGGACACAGGTGGGCTGCCAGATTCCAGGAGGAACTTTAATGGTCCTTAGTGCTAATGCACGACCCCTCTTATCAAGGTCTGCCATCCTGCCTGTTCATCTCTTTGCATCGACTTCTCCAAAATGCGGATTAGCAAAAGTGGTTGTGACATCTCCCCTGTTCCTCCTCTTCCCGTTTCTATTCCCTGTCATTCTCCTCTTTTTCACACCTCAGTTTCACTTCCTGCCCGTCGTCTTCTCTTCTCCACCTCCCGTCCAAGCCCCCCATCCCCCCCCCCCCCCCCCCCCCCC